AAAACAATCCCTTTCCTCGCACTACTACTTTTTTTTTTTGTCTTTTTCTCTTTCTCTTCCTTTCCCCCTGTCTGGCTTTTTTTCTCTCTCTTCATCTATTATTCTCTGTCTGTCTGTGTGTGTCTGATTTTCTTCTTTTTTCTTTCATTTGTTCTCTCTTTATTTTCCTGTGAATTCATGAATGTCTTTGTTTACACACACACGCACACACAAACACACACACACACAAACACACACACTCACACACACACACACACACACACACACACACAATCACACACACACACACACATACACATACACACACATACACACACACACACACACACACACGCATACACACACGCGCGCGCACACACACAAATAAACACACTTTCTCTTTCTTTCTCTATTTCTTCTCTAACGTGGATATTGTGCTTTCCCTCGACAGGCTTTGTCAACTGTTTTCAAATTTTCATTTTGACTTTCATTGTCATTTTTTTTTTTTTTATCATCAACTACTTTTATTTTATTTTATGTTTTTCTTATAAGATATACTATGGTATCTAACCATCCTATCTCAAGCTCCACATGGCTAGTCTCATATCTCTCTTCTGATTGTCATCATTCCTTTTTCTAATATCGTCTTCTATCTCTCTTCTATATTTATTCTTTCTCCATTCTGAAGAGCATCGCATGTTTTCCTAAGTCTACCCTCCCACTCATTTCCTCGGTTCCCCGTCTCCCCTTCGTCGTTACCCCCCCCCCACTCTAACCCCCCTCCCCCCGTCCACCATCGGCGGTTCCTCCCCTCTTCCCTCACAGTTCTAGCCCCCACCCCACCCCTCTCCCCTCACCCCTTGCCCCTACCCGGACGCGAGGCACTGGCACATCCGGGTTTTTATGGCACTGCTTTGACATTGTTTGTGGCGCAGTGAATTCTTCTAAAAGTAGTCAAATATGAATATCATCTCCCTCTTCTGTTGTCGTTGCTTTGCCCACTTTTTTTCTGGCGCAGAAACACCCGGCTATCTTGGTCATCTTGAAATGCAACGGAGGTCTTCGGGTTCTGGGTTCGGTAGTGTTTTGCTTGGTGACGACATGCAACCATGTAAACACCCTTCTGTTTACCTAGATCACACACTGACGGTTAACCAATGTCAAAATGCGTTAGGTTACTATAATAATTTTGTTCCAGTTCAACCCGCTTTGGTTGTAGATGTATATTTTTTTTAGATACATTAGACTTTAAATTTTATTTCATTTTCTCACTATATTCTCGATTTGGCACTCAGCGAGAGAGCCTGCACGAAACATGCGGCATTAAGGTCTAGCGCTGATGTGAACTTAATCCAAGCCTCTTGCGATGACGGACGAAATGAAGGATCAAGCCATCACCGCCGACGACGAATAACAGAAAAAAAGATACAGAAAAAAAGGGAAAAATAAGGAGATAAAAGACCATAGCACTTAAGCGACGAAGGTACCAGCGACGCGTGGTGTTTGTGGAACATCGCAGTCCTGGGCTTTAAACATGCATATACGACGATGGTGTCCATTACTCTCGCCTTAATGAGATGCAGTTCTTTTATACTCCCTTCCCCACTCTCTTTACAGCAGCCCCCTCCCTTTACAACATATACCTCCCCCCCACCCCCCCGACACATATTTTCTTCGCCCAAACGCAATTCTTCTTCCTTCTCTTATCTCTGTCAGTTTGGCCCAGTCCTCTCACCCTTTCTCTCTCTCTTTCTCTCTCTGCTGGTCGCTGCCGCATGTCTGTCTCTCTGTCCGTGTGTCTCTTTCTCTCTCTCTCTCATTCAATCTATCTTTCTCTCTCTCTCTATCTTTCTGTCTACCTGTATGGCTGTAAGTCGGTCTCTCTCTCTCTCTCTCTCTCTTTCTCTCTCTCTCGCTCTATCTATCTATCTATCTATCTCTATCTGTCTATCTAGATCTATCTTTTTATTTATCTATCTATCTATCTATCTATCTATCTATATATATATATATATATATATATATATATATATATATATATATATATATATATATATATATATTTATATATATTTGTATATATATACTTTCTCTTTCTGGCTCTTCCGAAGAGGCAATCTGTCTGTCATTCTCTCTCTCTCTCTCTCTCTCTCTCTCTCTCTCTCTCTCTCTCTCTCTCTCTCTCTCTCTCTCTCTCTCTCTCTCTCTCTCTCTCTCTCTCTCGTCTGCTCGCCTTGAACATCTCTTACTCAATCTCAACTTTCTCTCGCAGTCGGAGCCTTTGTGGCAGTTAAGTGCTCTCGACGCCCTTCCCCGTCGTGTGTCTTTTATTTAGTCTGCGTAGATAATCGTTCATTTCATACGGCCTTTTTCAGTGTTATATGTACGTATATGTATATGTATATGTATGTGTATTTTTGTATGTATGTATGTATGTATGTCCGCTTGTACGTATGTATGTAAGTATGTATGTATGTACGTACATATGTATGTATGTATGTATATATATGTATGCATACATGAGTGTATATATATCTATATCTATCTATCTATCTATCTATCTATCTATCTATCTATATATATATGTATATATATATATATATATATATATATATATATATATATATATATATATATATATATATATATATATAAGATGTTTTTGATCCGATAGGATGATTGCAGTGTTTATCATATACTCAAACAGTAATATCGTGTTTGCTTTTAGCGCTGTTCATTATAGACATCTGTTGTATCCTAATAATAACTCTCAACCCCCCCCCCCCCTCTCTCTCTCTCTCTTTTTTTTCTCTCTCTCTTTATATATATATATATATATATATATATATATATATATATATATATATATATATATATATATATATCTTTCTCACTATCTATTATCTATATTTTATGTCCATATGTATTTTATTCTAAAACAACGTAGCGCCGCCTCGCCCTTGGGTTCGTTTGCTGAGTTTTTTCTTTTTTTCTCCCCGCAGAGGAAGCGGTCAAGGCCGACCTCCTGGGGAAGCCGCGGAAGGAGCGCACAGCCTTCACGAAGCACCAGATCCGGGAGTTGGAGGCCGAGTTCCAGCACTCCAACTACCTCACCCGCCTCCGCCGCTACGAGATTGCCGTCTCGCTCGACCTCACCGAGAGACAGGTGAGGAGCGTATTATAGATTATATATATCAACCCACAAACGTTTTTCTTTTTGTTTGTTTCTAATTCCATAGTAACTATTAGTAACTGTTTTTTTCGGAGCACAGTGCTCTTACTGACAGCATTACGCTGATTGCCGTTGATAAATGGCGGAAATTATTTAATGCAAAAGTTTCTTGGCAAATATCCTAATGTCTTCCCTTCTCTCTGTACAGGTAAAGGTGTGGTTCCAAAACCGACGGATGAAGTGGAAGCGGACGAAGAGTGGCCAGTTGGCCATGAAGCGACAGCAGCAAGCACAGCAAGAAGCTCAGCAGCAGCAAGAACAGCACCAACAACAGCTCGAGCAGCACCAACAGCAGCAGCAGCTGGAACTGAAGAGCAAACAGCCGCTGGACTTGCCCAAGCTCCAGCACCCGGAGGAGACTAAGCCTCAGTTCCCGAGCTCGACCCCGGACGCCAGCGACAAAGCCCCCACTTCAGGCACCACCACCTCCTCCTTCTCATCCACTACCTCTTCCACAGCCTCCTCCTCCTCCTCCTCTTCTTCCTCCTCCACTTCCACCTCTTCTCCTTCCTCATCTTCAACGATCACGAAATCCGACCACGACACAAACAACGACAGCAGCACCAGGGGGGACACAGCGCCCCCTCGCGACCCCCTGCTGACGCCGGCGACGCCGCCCGCCCTCTCCGCCAGCCCCTCCCCGCTCCAGGCCGCCCACCACCACCACCATCCCCACCACCATCTCGAGGAAGCCTACAGCAGCCTCCACCCCGCCCTCGCCGCCCCCTCCACGCCCTCCAACCTAGCCTCCAGCCCGCTCCCCGGCCACCTGGAGGGCGGAGGCCACTACCACAGCCTGCACCACGACCTAGGAGACGCCACCTCCTTCCTGACGGAGGCTGAGGCCTGCTAGTAACGCCGCCCGCCAGTCTTGCGCTTCAGGCACTCGCTGCTTTCACTTTCTCCTTTCTAACTCACTCGTTTTAATTAGTATTATTGACTAATCTCATATTTATTTATACGATTATAGGGTAAGGAAGGCCATTTTTGTTATTTTTATTCTCGATTCTCACCGCCTGTAGCTGAATGATTTGTTTATATATTCCTTTTCAGTAAACAACTTTAAAGACAGCTTAGCAAAGGGTTGTACGATGAATGATACTCATTATGATTATGTTTTATAAAGTATAAATTATGACATGAAAGAGTTTAATTTATAAAGTATAAGAAAACATGCTATTGATTCTGATATCTGTCCTATATGGCACAGCTTTACGCTAAATCCCCACTTATTTTTACTAATGCTAAAATTGAATTTGCAAACCCAGTGTAAACTTTTCTTAAATGATAAAGCGATTTTTGAACGACAATTATTAATGGTTGGTGGCAAAGAAGCGAAAGGTAACTGATTATTCAAAAAGACTTAAATGACTGATATATATATTTTTCATCTTTCTTAAATTCATTAGCCAAAACTGCCACCACGTAGCATTATAATGTCGTTATACCGACTCAACCTTGCAACACTGTTACCAACTCAATCTTTTGTGTGATACATATTATAAGCTCATAGTGGTAGTGTAAAATTGCATAGTTACTGTGTACGTGACGTGAAATAACACATTTGTATTTGTGATATGTTTTTTGGCAATATATCAGTAGTGATACTTACCTCTGTAACATGATAATGAACAAATACTGTATAACTGTGTAATAAACGCTCGTAACTCAGTGTTATGGTAATTCTCGACCATGTAATAGCTATAAATTGATAGACTATTTAGTTTTTATTTTATATGTTTCTTATATTTCAGTGAGCTTGATTTTGCAATAAAATTGAGCATGCATGTAAAAATGTGTTTCAGAAATCCTGATACTGTAATCTTTGAATAATCCTTACCTTTGGGGCAAAAAGAGGTTTTATACAAATGAACAGCACAGTACACCAGGTTATAAAATAAAGTGAAATTAACTAACTGCAGAATAATTAGACAAAGACACAAAAATTATTCACTGCAAAAGATACCCCTCTGGTGAAAAAGCAGGGAAATAATGATAGCAATAGCAATTAACAGCGTTTCAACTCATTGAAAAGCAAGATAAGATAACAATTATTAAAGCATATTAGTTATACTTCAACCTGTGTTGGGTTCACTGTGGGTTTCACTGTCCCGTATTTTTCCCTCATTCTTCCATCATGATTAAATTTTTGGTCATTATTTATTACGGTATCCCTTGTGTTTCTGATTCGAAGCGGAACCAAAAGTGATACTGATGACTACACCGATCATAGTATTAATAACAATAATATCAACAACAGCAACAACAACGGAGTCATGATAAGAGTAATGAAGTAATACTGATACTGATATTGATAACAAGAGAAATGATGAACAAATGACAGTAATGTTAAAGATGATGTAACATCAGTGATGATAATAATAATGTTGCCAATATTGATAACTACTATAGAGATGATATTGATCATAAACATAACAAATAACAATAATGATAATAACAATAATAACCAAAATGATGATAATAACAATAACAACCAAAATGCTAATGACAACAATGACAATAACAGTAATGCTAATCTTAATAACAATAATATTGATGATGATAATATTAACAATTATAATTCCGATGATGATATTAACTGTAACAACAAAAACAATAATTATGATAATAATAATAACAATAATGATAATGCTAATTATAACAATAATAATAATAATAATAATAATAATGATAATAATAATAATAATAATAATGAAAATAATAATGATTACGGAAAACAAACTAATAATAAAATAATAATAACAATAATAATAATGATAATAATTATTATTATTGTTATCATTATTCTTTTTATTATCGCTATAATTATCATTATTATCATATTAATAACAAAAATAATGATAATAATGAAAGTTATGACAATGCCAATAATGATAATAACAATATGATAATCATGATAATAAAGATTATATTAATGATAATTATAACAAAAAAAAAAAAAAATGATGAAACTAATAATAAAAACAAAACGATATTAGAAATGATAATAATGATAATGGAGATGATAATGATAATAATGATAGTAATCATAATGATAATGAGAATAAGGATAATAATAATAATAGTAGTAGTAGTAGTAGTAGTAAAGATGATGATGAGGAGGATGGTAATAACGATACTAATGATAATAATAATAATGAAAATAATAATGATAATAATAATAATGATAATAATGATAATGAAAATAATAATGATAATAATAATAATGAAAATAATAATGATAATAATAATAATGAAAATAATAATGATAATAATAATAATGAAAATAATAATGATAATAATAATAACAATGAAGATGATGATGATGATGAGGATGATGATGATGATGATGATGAAGAAAATTACTATTTTATTATTGCTATCATTATTATCATCTTTATTATTAGTTATCATTATTATTAGTAGTAGCAATAATGGTTGTAGTGCTGTTATTGTTATTATTATTTTTATTAGCATTATCATTATTGTTATTATCATTATTACAATTATGATTATCATTATTATTGCTATTATCATTATCATTATTACTAGCATTATTATTTTCTTTATTACTAGCATTATTATTTTCTTTATTATATCATTACTTTTATAATTGTTTCTCGTAGTCATTATTAATATCATTGTTTTTGTAATCATCATTATTGCTATAGTAATATTGCTGATAGTTAAAGTAATAGTAATGATATTAATGGCAATAATAGCAATGATAACAGTAGAAATAGCAATGATGATAATAATGATTGAAATTATAAAAATCATTATATTGATAATAATAACAATATTATACGATTATTATTATCGTCATTGTTGTGGTTATTATTATTGCTATTATCATCATTAGTATTATCATTATTATCATAACTACTATTATCATTATCATTGTCATTATTATTATCATCCTTATTATCATCATCATCATCATACTTATTAATAATATTATTATTATTGTTATAATTATTATTATTATTATCATTATTATCATTATTATCATTGTTATTATTATAATCAATATTTTTATTATTATTATTATTATTATTATTATTATTATTATTATCTTTATTATTATTATTGTTATCTTTATTATTATTATTATTATTATTATTATTATTATTATTATTATTATTATTATTATTATTATTGTTATTATTGTTATTGTAATTATTGTTATTGTAATTGTTATTATTATTATCATTATTAATACCTTCATAATCATCACCATTATCATCATTATTATTACTTATCATTATCATTTTTATTAGTATTAGTAT